GCGGTCCCGGCTGTCGCTGCAGACCCGGCCGACGGGGCGGGCCCGCCAGTTCGTTCACCCCTGGGCCTCCGTTTCTCCGGGACAGAGGGGGCTTGCCCGGGTGCCCCCTTGTGCCTGGCCCGCCGTCTCGGGACGACCAGCTTGCACCGCCGGCACCGCCCCCGGCACAGCCCCCACCCCTAGCCCTTCGCTGGCTTGACTCAGATTTCAGTCATTCTCGCCATAAACCATAGAAAGCTCCAGAAAGAATGATGTTTTAGTGTCTGAGCTTCAGAGTGACCCTTGTACTCAGCAGGGCCCAAAAATCCTTTGTGGGACCACGTGTCCGATGTTTGTTTTGGAAAATAGGCCTTTTTGTTTCTGGCTGAAATCCGGACACCCGCTGAGCTTCTCCCTTGATCTGGAGGTTGGAGGAGGCCGGCCGCTGGGAACTTGTTTCTGGGGCACAGGCCGCCCAGGGTCTGCACCCAGAAGGGAGACACAGGCAGACTCTTGCCCTGGGCTGTCCACCGTGCCCCAGCCAGACGCTGGGCCAGGGGAGGAGCCTGAGTGGGTGTGAGGAGAGCCCGGTCATTGGGGACAGGGGGATACCCAGCTCCCTGGGCTAACACTGGTGTGTCTGGGTCAAGGAGCAGGACAGTGTAGCTCTGGCCTGCCCAGAAGTGTGCAGGGTAGAGGGTCAGATGATGTGGGGACCAGCACTGAGCTTCCAGGAGGGTGGATCCCATCTGGGAAGGGAAAGAGGGCCACATCTCAGGTGTGCAGAGGCAGCAGCGTGCAGGGGCTTGGGGACAATCTGGCTGTGGTGTCCTGTGACACCCACTTCTGCTGCCTCTTCCAGCTGGGCTGAGGGCCACTCCAGGACATTCCTTGTCCTCCCCAGAGCCTGCCAGCCCTCTGGGACGGCTGGGAAGACATCCTGCCTGGCCCTGACCTGCTGTCTCCCTCTGTTCCCTCATTCCTGCTTTCCCCCCACAGGCCTTGGGCCTGGGCCTCTCAGCAAGCACAGGCCCTTTCCACTGCCCAGCTCTGCCATGTCCCCAGCCAAAGGGGACCCTGGAGGGAGGCAGTTTGAACTCCAAGGTGTTCTTGTTACTGTCTGCTATCTCAGCTATTCAGGGTGAATGCTTCCACAGCCTGGCACTGTCTGCTAACCCCCAGCCTGTCCCCAGCCTGGCTTTGTCCCACATCGATCCCTAGGGCTCGTCCCCAGAGGCCCCCAAGGTCTGTGTTTGGGAACAGCCAGGCCAGCCTTGGGAATTTCCATGCCATGTCCCCACCCTCTGGCTGGCCTCTGGGTTCTGCTCTGGTTCCAGATCTCAATTAACTGGATGGAGCACAGCTGGCCCCAGGGGTGTCCCGGAGGCTCTCATTGGCTGACTGGATAGTCAGCAGCACCCTGTTGGCTTTGGCTGGGACACCCGACCCAGGGCTGTGTGGGGTTCCCAGCACCTTGATCTTCCCAGTGCTTCCACCTCACCTCCCAGGGCCTGCCGCCAACGAGGCAGGCAGGGCCTGTGGGAGGCATTTCCCCAACAGGGCTGAGCTGACTCGGTGCCACAGGACACACCCGCTTGGTACTGGGAGCCCAAGTTGCAGAGTGGGTGGTGCTGGTAACCCCCCAGCCATGGCTTGGTCTCTCCAGGTCCTTCACCAGAGCCACCACCAGGTGGTTCTGGGGCCTGAGCTAGGACCCCATGTGAGGCGCCCACCTGTTGGGGTCTCCCTGCCCAGCCCCTCCCCAGTTTGGGCCCTGGCCACCTGCCTGAGCAGCCCGGCTGCTTGCCTGCCAGTGAGTCACCATGCAGACACCACCCACGCTGGGCAGGATTCCCACCCCACTGGCCCAGCAGCTTGGCCTCAGGGCCTGGCCGGTCAGAGGCACCCACAGCTCCTCCATGGCCTGTTTCCCTGGGGTTGGAGAGTCAGGCAAAGTCAGAGTGCTGACCTCTTGTGTGCCTATGCAGGGGATGAGCTGGAGCAGATCCGGCCCAGTGTGTACCGCAATGTGGCCGGCCAGCTGCACCTCTCCGTGCAGTCGGAGCCCGTGGTGACAGATGCATTCCTGGCTGTGGCAGGCCACATCTTCTCTGCAGGTAGGCATGTCCACCCCAGGGGACCTCAGGGTGGGTCCCGTGGCTGTGGGACCCCAGGAGGCAGCCTTGTGGTGCTCACAGTACCGTCTTGCTGCTGGGGTTGTCTGAATCTGGGAACAGACCAGCTCAGATGGTGCTGGCTTTTGTGGTCTTTAGTGGTTCTGAGAGCTGCTGGCCCTTGGGCAGCTGGCATGGGCCTCTCAGGCAACTGTGGTCCAGCACTGGTGGGCATGGCCTGCTCTGCAGGACTGCTGGGCCACCTGTCCTGGGGCTGCAGAGCCGGCTGTGGGCTGGAGGGGCTGGGTGCCCACCGCCGGACTTGGACTTTTCATAGTGAGGTGCTGGGCCCGAGGGGAGTGTCCAAGAAGGAGTATCCTGGCCTCCAGTAGGAAGTGTTGGGGTGGGCTGAGCCCCAGGAGGAAGCCTGGGGCACAGGCGTCCTGGGTGCCCTGTGGGTGGCCTCCCGGGTCTGTCTCGGCCTTTAGCAGACTGGTTTACAAGCCACGGCCTGGTTTTTCAAGTGTGGCTCGGGCCTGCTGGTGTCTGCCATGGAGCTGGGGCCCTGATGGTGGTGGGTGTGAGCCCAGCAGGGGCCTGGGGAGGCGGAGCCCATCCTGGCCCTCAGCCTGAACCAGAAAGCAGCAGAGTACAGGCTGGTCTGGGAGGTCCTGGGCGAGGCTGGGGTGGAGGGAGGAAGGCAGGAAAGCTGGCAGGGGAGGGTCCCGTAGCACTAACTTCCTCCCCCGGGGTCTGCTGCCTCTTAGGGTCCCGGGGGAGCCTAGGCCAGCTGCCCCCTCAACCCATGGCTTCAGGCCCCTGGTGACAGTGTCCTTAGCCCCATGTGGACTGTGTGACCTGCAGCTCTTTCTTCATCTCTCTGAGCCTGGGAGAATTAGGGCTTTGTCTGCCTCTCCAGTGGCCAGAGGGCTCTGAGGACACTCCTCAGACCAGCTTGTGGCTGCCTGTCACACTAACCCCAGCCTCCTGGTCCCAGGGGCTCTGCCCTCAGCCCTCTGCCTGTGGCGTGCCCACTCTGCCTGGCACACTGGCTGCTTTCCTGCTGCGAATGCAGCCCGTCAGGCTCATCCCTGCCGGACGCTGCCACCCTGGCCTCCTCTGCTGTGGCCCCCTGGGGTGGCTCTGTGGAGCTTCTCCTGGTCTCCAGCCCCAGGTGGCAGGAGAGCCCAGTTCTGGGGCAGCAGCGACCACTGGGGCATTCCCCTGCTCTCCCGGGGCTTTGCGTTCACGCTGCTCCTTTCTTTTTCTTTTTTTAATATTTAATTTTTAGTTGTAGTGGGACACGATACCTTTATTTTACTTGTTTATTTTTATGTGGTGCTGAGGATCAAATCCAGGGTCTCGCCCATGCCAGGCAAGCGCTCTGCTGCTGAGCACAGCCCCTGCCCCGTGCTCATTTCAGTGGTGAGCTATCTTACAGAAGACCGGAAAACAAGGGAACCCTTAGAAATCATTACCACCAAGGCATCCCACCTGAAAGATCAGCAGAGGAACTGGGTGTGGTGGGCACACCTCGAACCCATCTCGGCCACTGGGAGGCAGAAGCAGGCAGACTGTGAGTTCCAAGCCAGCCTGGGCAGCTCACTGAGGCCCTGCTCAGAACAGAGTGAAGAAGACTGGGGATGGGGCCCAGTCCCTAGTGCTGTGTGTATCTGTGCATGCATGTGAAGGAAAGCACCATGTCCAAGAGGCCAGCACAGGGCGGGGGTGTGCCTTGGGCAGAGAGAGCCCAGTGCTCCAGGTCCTGGGCTCCACTCCATCCAGACATGCACACACAAAGACCAGCAGGCACACGAGCCTCTACCCAGACCAGCAGCCATTAGGCTTCCTCGTTCTACCAGGACGGCTTGGCCTGCGGCTGCAGGTAACCTGGAGAGGTGGTGTGGGCACGTTGGAAACAGCCTGACAGGTCCTCAAAGCATTATGTGGAGTTTCTGTGTAACCTGGCCACTCTAGGCAGATGCCCAAGAGCTGGAAACGCCCACAGAGGTGGGAACAGCCTCAGGTCCCTCTGCTGACAAACAGATACACCATTCAGTCATGGACAGGAGGGACAAGTGCCCTGCACCAGGACCCCGAGCACCCTGCTGGCATCCTGCTGAGCACAGAGGTGGAAGTAGGTTAGGGGTAGCCATGGGTCAGGGCACGTGGGAATGGCCTGGAATTAGATAGTTGTGAACTGTGGGAATGTATAGAATGCAATTCTCCATGTCTGAACGATTATGGCAATGGAATGATGTCTTAATGAAAGAGAACAGGAAACCCAGGCCAGCAGAGCGACCAGACCAGCCCTGGACACCCCTCCTGCTGGCCCCTGTGGGCTCCAGCTGTGGGATTGTGGCTACCCATGAAGCATGCTGTTCTCTGCACATCAGGCCCCACAGAACACTCTGCCTTTTCCCTCTACTAGTGCCTGCTGCAGGCAGGGGGCAGGGGGTCTGGAGACCTGCCTGGGCATGGTCAGGAGGCCCTGTTGCCCTGCTGACCTCAAGCAGGCTGGGGTGGGAGCTCAGCCATGGAGGACCAGGGCTGACCATGTGCACTGTCCTGGTGGCAGCTGGCCAATGGGGCCGTCTCGGCCAGGCTTGAGACTTGGGTTTGTCTGATAGGATGCACGGGTTTCACACAGGGTGGTCCATGGTCTGTGCTCAGTGCTCAGGGCTCTTTCTTCCTGTTGAAGGGGGATGAGTGGCAGCGTCCCCGGTTGAAGTTGTAATTTGGTACTTCAGCATAGTGACCCACCACCATCCCCTGTACCCAAGCCACGGGTCCTCGTGGTCGCTGCCCGTCTGTTCTGGACGTGGCGCACGGTGGTCGCACACGGTGGTCTCGCCCAGTGTGCATGCTGCGCGTCTGGCTTTTTCCACTTGTTGTTTTGAGACCCTCACTGTGTTCACTTTGCTCTTCTCTGTGCTGGGGTGGAACGCAGGGCCTCACACTCTCTGCTCAGCCCTGTCCTTGTCTTGGCAGCTCTCCTTTTCTGCCTGATTTATGAACTTACTTTATATATTCAGGAAGGCATCCAACACGTGGCTTGAGAGTACTTTCCCCCAGGGTCATTGGTCTGTCTTCCTCGAGGCGGCCACAGCTCAGTTCTGCTGCTCCGTGGGTTAGTGGTCCAGGGAAAGCTCTTTCCATGGGCCTTGGCTTCTTCATAAAATGGACAACGGTGCTGTCCAGCTGCAGAGGGATGAATGTGCCCTGAGAGTCCTGGCTGTTTTTTTCGTCCAGCCCCAAGGCTGCTGGACCCTGTGGGGAGCTGCCTCCCTGAGGCCTCCTCTGTCCATGAGGCTGGACAGGTTTCCTGCTGGGCCAGTGCAGGTGTGCAGGGGGCTGGGAACCTTGCCTGCCCTCAGGGTGGGCGGGACTGACCCAGGGGAGACGGTGGCCAGGCTCGCACCAGGCTATCAGCTGGCCAAGTGCCACTGGGGTGCGGGCCTGTGGGAGCCACCTGGCTTCTGGGTACCTCCCACTGACCAGCCACTCACCAGTGACTCTCTCTCTGCAGGCATCACGTGGGGCAAAGTGGTGTCCCTGTACGCAGTGGCTGCAGGACTGGCTGTGGACTGTGTGCGGCAGGCCCAGCCCGCCATGGTCCACGCCCTGGTGGACTGCCTGGGGGAGTTTGTGCGCAAGACCCTGGCAGCCTGGCTGAGGCGGCGTGGTGGATGGGTGAGCCCCTGGGTGCGGGGCTGTGGGAGGTGGGTCCCTGGCGCAGGGTGAGGGAGTGGAAAGCGCTCTGGGGCAGGCTCTGGGCTTGCTTCTGCTGCCTGGACCCTGCCACCCGCTCCAGTCCAATCTTGCCCCGCTCCAGCTGAAGACCTGCTGTCCCTAGATGACTTGGGAGAGGTAGGACTCTGGCCCCCTCAGAGGGGAGATCCTGGTCCTGCCCAGAGCACCCTCACCTCCTCAGGGCCTAGTCTCCCCCCACGAGAGGAGGGCCACAAGGCCTAGAGGGGTGGGTGTCAGACCTCCACTCTCTCCACGCTCAACTGGCCACCTGGGCCTGGGCAGACCATGGTACTGCTGGACCTCGGCACGGAGCCTCTGAGTCAAGGTCTCCTGAGGTTGAGTTAAGGACCAGCTGGGACCATGGTCCCAACTGGAGGCTGGGCTGCGGGGAGGGTGTACTCCCAGAATGACCCCTGGCTCCGGCATTCCCAGCAGAGACACCAAAGCTGCTGACCCCTCCTGTGGTCTTCTCTGCAAACCCTGGCAGGCACCCTGTGCCCAGCAGAGAGTCCACTGAGCAACACTGTGGCCAGAGTCAGCTGAGGAGCCTTCCTTTCCTTAGCAATAGAAAGGACAGGGAGGGTGAGGACTAGTCACGCACCATCCTCCAGGACTCAAGTCCCAGGGCGTCTCCGCTTCTGCAAAACTCAGCCTCTGCTCCCACTCCCAGGGCAGGTCTGAAGCTGTCCAGTGGCCTTGGACGCCAGGCTGTTGGAGACTCCTTTGGGACAGCTGGCAAGCAGGAGGGTGTTTGGGAGTCCTGGTGCCGGTGGCTTGTCTCCTTCCCCACCCTGAGCTCCTCCCTCCTGCTGCCCAGCTCCTCAGGTGCCTGCAGTCCAGCCCCATCACCGCCTTCCTGCCCCAGGCAGCCTGTGGTTCACAGTGTGCTGGCTTTGTGGGTCGGTGCTGCTGAAGCTTGTGCTGGGTGGCGAGGCCAGGCTCTGCTCTGACAGTACCCTCTTCCCTCACAGACTGATGTCCTCAGATGCGTGGTCAGCACGGACCCTGGCCTCCGTGCACACTGGCTGGTGGCTGCGCTCTGCAGTTTTGGCCGCTTCCTGAAGGCTGCCTTTTTCATGCTGCTGCCGGAGAGATGAGCTGCCCATCTGGACAGGAGCTGTGGCTTGGCCCCCTGGGTCCATCCCTGGAGGCCAGCCACACCTGGGAAGCATCTCTCCTCTCTGAGCCCATCCCTCTGCAGACCCAGGCCCCTGGAGGGGTGAGTGGAGAGGACTGCCTTTCGTGCAGCTGTGGCCCTTCTGGGGGACCCTGCAGCACATGCTCCCTGATGCCCCTGCCTCAGGAAGGGCCATCCCAGATACCGGCTGGCTGTGGTCCTCGGGGGCTGCGGGCCCTGCACAGTCCACCTGCGGAGTCTCTGCCTGCTGAAGTGGGAGGACTGAGCGCTCTGACCAGCTGTCAACAGCCTAAGGCTCCCGCGCTGGTGGCCTCACCCATTTGTAGACGGGGGAAGTGCCCTGACCGTAGTGGAGTACTCGTGTAGGTTCCAGGCCAGTGTCCTGACCAGTGGACCTGTGATCCTGTGGGCAAGGGGGACCCCCGGAGCTTCACCTCGGTGGAGGACGATTGTGTGCCTGGCTTTCCTTGTGTCCCCCTCATCCGGCTCCCAGGAAGCCCAGCCCCGTGGAGTGCCCTGCAGTCCAGGCTGGCCCAGGCGGGGTCCTGTAGCCCCAGCAGCCCAGCCCTGCTGAGTGGGGCCTGGGTGGCTGCACTCAGTGCCCTTCCTCTCTGGCTCCTGTCCCCACCTGGCAGCTCCACTGGCTAACAGCCTGTCCCCAGGCCAGGAGCTGGAGCCTGCCTGCCTGGCAGAGAGGGTCGTGCACGGGGGATGGGCAGAGCCTGGAAAATAAAGTCCCAACTGTGGTTTCACTGTAGACAGTCACCCTCCTTGCTGCCTGGGGCACAGTGGCGGTGTGTGGCTCTGGTCTGCTCAGGTGGAAAGGTGGGTGCCTGTTCCCACAGCAGAAGGCGCTGGGAGTCCAGGGTGTGATGGGCAGTAGAAATGCGCAGGACATTGCCATGGGTCACTGGTGCCACTAGTCAGGTCCCAGTAGGGTCCACGGCCCTGGACTTTGCACACCTGGAATTCTGCCTGGGGCCTTCCAGGGCAGGGCTGGCAGCTGTTTCCCAAGAGAGGCTTCACTGGACCCCGGCAGCTGAATCAAAGGGACAGTGAAGTGTGGGTGCTTCTGAGACCTCCTGGGGGGTGCCGTCCTCTGCTCCCGGAGGCCCCCGTCCTCTGCTCCCGGAGGCTCCCGTCCTCTGCTCCCTGAGGCTCCCGTCCTCTGCTCCTGTGCTCCCTGAGGCTCCCGTCCTCTGCTCCTGTGCTCCCTGAGGC